AGTCGTTGGTGTGATGACTTGAGGACCCAGAAGCAGAGATCCAGAAAGAACTGATTAGTGGGCGATGTGATGAGCTAGTGACACGTGAGGCTGCGTTCTTATTGGTCTAGTCATTGGTGATTGATGAGGGGAGTGATGGAATGGTGACGCGTTTCAACTCCTCAGACACCCGTTTCGCCCGGTGAGGACCCAAAAGCAGATTCAGAAAGACCCAATTAGTGGGCGGTGTGATGTGGTAGTAACACGTGCATTAAGCTCACAAAGCGAAGTAGATTCCCCTCTTTTGCGGTCTCTCTCCCTGTGTGTGTGTGTGTGTGTGTGTGAAATGTGTGTTTCGCAATTGTTTTGAGTTCCCTCCCTCCCTCCTTCCATGCCTCCCTCTCTCTCTGTCTCGTTTTCTTTCTCTCTCTCTGTGTCCGTCTATTGAGGCAACGGAGAGGCATGGGGCGTGATTATGAGGAAGTAAAATGAGGGAGGGAGGGAGGGACAAATGTATGAGGGCATGAAGGATTTCTCGAGTGAATTATGAGCGTATTTAGAGGAAGTGCGTCACGGGAAATTTTCGTGCGAAGTGTAGGCCTTGCTGAGTTGAAGTTTTAGACGGGCAGCTGGGCAAGGAGGGGAGTGGGATGGGAGCAGGGGGATGTCTGCTTGCGGAAGAGAGAGACACCTAAGGAGAAAGAGGAGCAGGGGAAAGATTGCCGGAGAGTGGGGGAGGGGAAGAAAGGCTCCGCATCGGAACATCTTGCGGTCAGGGAGAGAGAGAGAGAGAGAGAGAGAGAGAGAGAGAGAGAGAGAGAGAGAGAGAGAGAGAGAGAGAGAGGTGGTGGCAGTGTATGTTCCAATGAAGCCATTTGGCTAAAGGGCATTCTCATACTAAGACTTTTTCGACTGAGCTGTGGACGTGATTACCGTCAGAGGCATCGAGGTCTAGCGGCAATTACGTATATGTCACTGGCACTCATGGTCCCACTTTGTTTCAACCAAGTGTTTGCATTCTCTTCGACCCTTCATGATAGCGCATGACCCTTCAAGTATTTTGTACTATTTTGTACTTGAGTGACTTTTGCGAGCCTCCAGGCACAA